TAATGTGTCTGTTTTTGTAGCCTTTCAGAGAGACTGAGAACCATGCCGCACTCATTTTGACTCTTCATAGCAGGAAAAGTGCAGGTGTAACTTATAACATTTACAATGGCTTTGTTCCATTCACACGTCCCAGGGAGACATGTCAGTGAAACAGCATGTGTAGACTCAGAGCCTTGGAACTGATATACCTGAGTGGAACGCTGCAATCATTCAATGTTATAATCTGCACCTGGACGTTTCCTGCCAAGATTGGTTAAAGTGTCTGAGTGAGAAAGACCTCAGCAGGCAATGGTGGATGTGAGGTGGTCTGGGCCTCTGCACCTCAATAATGTAGAAAAAACTGTCCTCACCCATATCATGAGTCTGAAAAATACAGGTGTGTTATTCTGTAAGAACTTCTGTGATGAAAACGTGCGGTTTACAGTCATACATAAATGATTTGAATAATTTGTCAGCCTGAAATATCTCTGCAACTATTTGGTGTATTCCCATGAAATCCTCTGCAGACACTCATGTTTTGACAGTTCCCTGAATTTTCATCAAGTGCAATTACAGAGTCAAAATTTCAGTTGGTTTTTGATCTGTGACCAAACAGCAAGACCAATGGTATTCCATCTGTTACATTTTTTTTGTTGATCAAAAAATGTTAAGACCCATGACTAAGATTGTTAACATGTTAGATATTATCTGCTTCTCAGCATTCTTTCCATTGATTCATGAGCATGTTGACAGTAGTATTAACCTTAAAGATTGACGGTGGCTGTTGATGCTTACGCCCTCTTTACATTAATGCAGATATTTTGTATGTTTGTCTCCTGCATACATATGCAAACAGCTTTTTAAGTCTTTTTAGTATTTTCTTATCTTTTTACATCTTTTTTTTATAACACTTCACTGCGTCCTAAGTGAGCTGTGCACAATGTTTTGTCATCGTCAGTTGTATTAATTCATTTGTCTTTGTCTTTTTACCGTGTCTGCTGTGTCACTCCTCCTTCCTGGTTTGATCAAAAGAGGTGGTGGAGGGTGGAGCCTGATTAAATACAGAGGGCCACTAAATGGTCCAGACCAAATGCTGCAGTAGAATGGGGGGTAATGCTGTTTTTCAGTATGGGGTTTTTAGTCATTTCCCACTTTTTTTTCACTAAAATGGTTTGATCAGCCAGGATATATATGTCTCCTCGTTTTTGAGTAGAGTTTTGATTGTGGCGTCACCTGATGAGGCTGTTGATCAGTCCACAATTTCAACTTTTACACCCAACAATAATAATCATTTTATTTGTAAAGCACTTTTCATTACAAGTAATAAAGTGCTTTACAACAAACAATACAAAACTCACATATCACTGACAAAAAGCAATAGAGAGGGTATGATAAAAGCTTTTTTATAAAGATGTGTCATAAGAAGTAAAATAAAACTGGTAACCGATTCTCTTAGTGTAACAGGCCCTATCTTCTTTGGTTTTCAGCCTAGACTTCAGAATGATTGTCAACGCCCTACCAGAGGATCTCAGACTGTGCATCCTGGCTCGTAGGTAGATAAATGGTCTGAAATATAGGGAGGGGCCAGCACATGCCTGGCTTTAAAATTTATTAAAAGAATTTTGAAATCAACCCTAAAATAAACAGGCAGCCAGCCAAACGGCAGCATTCTGGCCTTACTGTAGACGGTGGATTGATTTCTGACTAAGACCACTATAAAGGGAGTTGCAGAAATAACTGCAAGAGGAAATAAGGGCGTAAATAATTTTTTTTTCAAATCTGTATATGTAGATCAAAATATTTAACCTTGGCTATGTTTCTTAAATGATAAAAACATGGTTACACAACCTTCTTGATGTGGGGTTCCAAGCACAGGTTTTGGTCAAAGACCAAACCCAGATTTGTGGCTGAGGACTTTGCGCATGTTGCTAGTTCCCAAGCAATGTGGATTTTCCTTTTATATCCAAACCCAACCCGAGCCTAATGCAGTCAGTGGAAACAGAAGCACTGACTTTGACAGGGTGGACACTGACTTTGTTTGTTTCTCACCCAGTTGTTCCAGTGATCACAGGCAATATTTTAATATTCATCAACATGAATGTTAAAATCACCAACTAGAATAACTCTGTCTAACCTAATAAAAATCACTGAATTCGGATATAAAAGAACTGTTAAAACTTTAGAAAGACCAACTTTGGTAACGTACTGTGCTGTGAACGGATCAGGTCCAGTCTACATCCAGGACATGGTCAAACCTTACACCCCAACCTGTCCACTCTGCTCTGCATCTGCCAATCGGCTTATCAGTGGGAGCTAACCACTCAACAACATCCTGACTGTTTGCTGTCGTGGCTCCGAAATCGTGGAACGAGCTCCTAAAAGGACAGCAGAAAGTCTACACATCTTCTGCCGCAGACTAAAGACACATCTCTTCCGACTACACCTTGAAGATGATGTAGCACCTTGCAGTTTGTCTGTTTTTGAAGCAAATTGTACTGACTTGATTCTTCTTGTTCTGGGTTTGTTCCCTTATGGTTGATGCATTTATTGTAAGTCGCTTTGGATAAAAGTATCAGCTAAATGTAATGTAATTGTTAACTGCAGTTCAAAACAGGAGAAAGCTGCAGTGCTCAATGTCCCACTTTGGAAACACAGCGAGTCCTCCACCCCGGCCAAAGGACCTCTGAGTGCCGACATCAGTGCAGTCAGGTGGGCACAGTTCAATTCAAGGGCCTAGTCCACGGACCTCTGCCAAGTTTCAGTCAGAAACAGAAAATCCAAATTATTATTTACAATAGAGTGAGCGTTCAACAGTGTCATCCTGAGAGGTACAGAAATATTGCTAGCAGGGGCCGACAAAGACATGCTGCCAGCCCACAGAGAAGCTTCTCACCCTACCACACCAAGGCATTTTGAACCATCCAGCTGACTGCTGTTGTCATCTTTACTTTCACACGTGCAGTTGCTGGCTATACTAGAACGTACAGTTTTATTTTGTCTCAAAATCCATGAACGTAAAATCCACATCTACACACACTCACATGGAGCAGAAATGCTCACTCAGAAGTATGCCTGTCCGCTCTGCTCACATTTCAATTTTGAGACAAAATAAAAACATACAAACGAATTAGATTCATTTTGTGAAATTATTTATTTCCATTTTTTTCAATCACTGCAGAATTAAAAGTATGCAGCACTCCCTGATCTACAAGTGCTCATAGCCATTAGCAGTCAGTACCTGAGGACCTGTATGGGTGTGTTCACTGCATCATGTCCTCTGGTGCCAGCAATTAATTATCTGGACAACCAGACAAACCAATGCAATTCAGATGTTTTTAACTGTGCAGGGCTACAAACGTAAAAAATCCTCTTAATATGTCCAAGTCTTACCTTTCATTAAACAAAGTTCAATAGCTTGTTTACACCAGGACGGCGTGTCCACCCAACAAACACCACCACAGGACTGTAGGTTTGCCAGAGAGCCAGATAAATGTTTGTTTACTCTGAGCAAGTCATTGGTGGGGAATGCAAGCTGTTTGGGGCTGAACGCTGCCGATACTGTGTGTGTTCATGGCCACACACATATACAAACAGTGTTTGATTGGCTGCATGTATGTGTATACATTGTTACTTAGGGCCAAACAGTATTTACAGCAAACATGTGTAAGCACTTGAGGGCCACTGTGTGTAAACTCAGTATGAAAACCAATTTAGCATAATAAATATGAAATGGTGACATGTTTATGCAAATGTAATTAGCAAAGTAATGGGCTTTCACTTCAACAGATATTGATTGAAAACATCTGCCTGTTGTGTGAGATCATCACATTCCTCAGGAAAGGTTGCATTACAACACCGAAAGTCTAATCAGGCACAGTGAGCCATGTTCTGCCAAGTCAGAAACAAAATAACACGTTATAGAAAATAATAGCTTGTCACTCTATCACATCTTTTCATAGATCAGCGAGATCAATGTCCAAACTCACCAGTCACTTAAACTTCATTCTATAAACACTGCGTCGGACTGTAAACATATGTATGTTAGAGCATATGTGATAGTCATCAATGTAATCAATTTAACTGTGGCCAGATGCCTGGGCACATTCCTATAGTAGCAGATTTTAAACCCAAAAATGTATAAGTCTATTTGAGTGGGAAGCCAATGTCATTACATCGATCTGCTCTTATGTTAAGAGAAAAATCGAAGTCATGACTTTTTAATCGTTATGCCAAATATGCTTTTAAAGAACTGTCAAAGCAGCCTCAATGTCTGTTTAATACAAAGCTGCTGCAAGCGACATATCTTAAGGAAGGAAATATTTCTATTATGGATTTTTCTTTGTATCAAACCAATTTACATTTCACAACTTAAACCAAGGGTCGGTAAGTTGTCTTTTATAATTTGTTGAAATCCTCCTCACAATCCGATAGTCATCAATAAATTAAGTCGTCTGACTTTAGGTTCATTTCTAGCAGCTGTCAGTCTGTGCACATTCATGTTTTTTGGGGAGTGTAACTTTGGAGAGAGGGCGGATGGGAGGGGGTGGGAGTTATTGGTTGAGTAGCCTGCTCTTGCTAGCTTTTACAGGATCACCAACCCTAGCTTCAATGCAAAGTTCCATTGTTCGGATGGATTCTTGTCATTACAAATTTCACAACTTAATATCATCTTAGTGCATGCATTTCATCTGTTATGGACAGTCTGTGAGGTCAGTTGCATCTCGTGGTTGATATGGTAACCTGTGGTTGCTGGTGGTTCTTGTCAGAATTGTAAGTATTGACCACAGGTGGCAATACAAAAGCCTTGAGCAGCCACTCTGCCAGAGAGAAGGGCAAAAAATAAGATGGAAAAACTAGTTGGACCTGGTTAGTTGTTAGTCAATTCAAGAAGCGCTGGAAGTTGCTGGAAAGGGATCATTTGCAATGGTTTATTATTATTTTATTGACTAAGAATAATTGTGTACACAGCCGTCTATTTTTGCCTTTTTGTTTCCAGTTTTTCCAATGGCCAGGATTCATCTTGTAGATGGACATCCAGGTTCCAGACATAAAACTCTTTTTATAAGGATTTTCTGACACACGAAAGGAGAAAGTTCGTTGGGAATTTACTTCTGTAAAAGTGGGAGTTCGCATTAGGCATATGGGGAGCTCTCAAAGCTGTAGTGATCACTAAGGCAACATACTTCTGTCAACGCGATGAACCTGTAAATTCTAGTTTCACAATGTAGTCTGACACTATGTAAATCCTAACAATTAAAACTCCAAGTGAAAACGTTTTTCCATTTCACAAAAATGTCTTCACATCGCAGGGTTTCATTTTGTAGTAAATATTCCAAATAGTTGCAATAACTTCCTGAGAAACACTAACCCTCATGAAGTGTTGACTGATCCGTCAACAAAAAAAACATTTTCATGTCCCAGCTATCCAGCTGCACTGGCAACATTTTAGAGTCTCAAGTTTTAATTTTATGGCCGGTGATGATCAGTGGCTGGAACCTGACAACAAAAATACTGTCAGATTTATTCACAAACTTACAAACTCTTTTGGAATAATCTGTCTTTGGTTAAACTGACTGATTAGAGAGTAACTGGAGCTGACAATATTCATCTTCGCATATAATCTCTGCATGCCGACCCAATCTGTTTCCTAAACTAAGCAGGATCCTGTCATCTACTGTGCATATGTAAAGCAACATTATTCCATATCTGAGCCTTTGAAGTCAAAGCAAATACTTGGCACAGGTATGAATGTGAAGGTCAGGAAGCGCTGCACACAGCGAACGGTTAAGAGACTAGAAAGCATCTCGGTCGGAGCACGGATTATGTCTCATGAAGTCAATCCCTTTAAGCCATGTCACAAACCCAGCAAAGTATTAGACAGATTCCGCTGCAAGAATTCGTCATGACATCTTAAAACCATTTTGCGCAAAGCAGCAGAATAATATCATTACCGTTTGCAGAGGTGTTGCTTCAAATGCCAGCTCTGTCTGTAAATTTATCTCCGGGGCTTTTT